GGAGGGACAGCGCAGGAGGGGAAGACCCTCTATGAGATGGACTGATTTGGTGACTGGGGTAATCGGGATGGGTGTGTCAGAGGTGGTGCGGTTGGCGCAGGATAGAGCAGGGTTTAGGGCTGTTGTGCATAGGGTCGCTATGAGTCACAAAAGACTCGACGGCACGTAACAACAACAACAACAAAGGAAACTCCATACCTATTAACAGTCACTACCCTTTCCTACATCCTCTCAGCCTCTGGCAATAATTACCTTCCATATGAATTTTCCTATTCTGGACATTTCATGTAATGTGTGATCTTTTGTGCCTAGCTTCATAATGTTTCCATGTTGTAGCATATGTAAGTACTTCAACTCATGCTGAGTTGAACTATTCCTTTTCAAATATTCCATTATTTAACTATTCATCAGATAATGGAAATTTGGGGTGCTTCTACTTTCTTGCTATTACAAATAATAGTGCTCAGAACATAATTTTTCTGTGTATATATGTTTTCAGAATTGCACCAGAAAAATCTGTTTTCAAGAACCTCTCCACAGTACTAAATGCGTCTGATCCAAGCCACGGTCTTTTCAATCATTTCTTACGCAGCTGGAAGTGGGAAAATCAATAAGGATGACAGAAGAAGAATTGATGCCTTTGAATTGTGGTGCTGGAAAACAGTAGTGAAAATACCATGCACTATCAAAACTAATCTGTCTTGAAAGATATGTGATCTGAATAGTCCTCGGAGGCAAGGATGGTGAAATGTCATCTCATTTACTTAAGGTATAATCTCAGAGGAACCAATTCTTAGAGATCATGCTGGGAAAGGTAGAGGGTCAGACAGGAAGATTCTTCCCAAGATGCACTGGCATAGTGGCTACCACAGTGGGCTTGAGCACTGTGTAGAGATCATGAGGATGCTGCAGGTTAGGGCAAGTTTCAAACCGCTTATTCACAGGGTCACTATGAGTTACAGTTGAATCAATGGCGTAACAATGGCAATAACAACAAGAAGCATGTTTTTAGCTATTCTAATAGGAAGCCCTGGGGGCCTAGTGGGTAAGGAAGTGCCCACTAGTAAACCAAAAGTTGTTATGGTGTTAGGTGCTGACAAGTTCAGTATGACTCATAATGACCTTATGAACAAAAGATCTGAACCCTGTTCTATCCTGTGCCAGCCTCGCATTTCCTGACACAGTGCAGCAGTCACTGTGTCAATCCATCTGATTTAGTCTTCCTCTCTTTGCGGACCCTCCACCCTTCACAGCATCATGTCCGTCTCTAAGGAATGAATAGCCCCTTCTAACAAACAACATGTCTAATATATGTAAGGTGAAGTCTCATCATTCCTGCCTCCAAAGAGCAATCTAACTGTACTCTCTCCAAGATATATCAGTGTGTTCTTTTGGCAGTCCATGGGATGTTCTCCAACACCACAGCTCAAAGGTATCAATTTTTTTTTTCATCCTTATTCACTGTCCTTGGAGAGGGACATCATGCTTGGGAGGGTGGAGAGACAGCGCGGGAGACGAAGGCCCTCTATGAGGTGGATTGATTCAGTGACAGGGATAATTGGGATGGGAGTGTCAGAGACAGTGTGATTGGCACAGGACAGAGCGGAGTTTAGGGCTGTTGTACATAGGGTCGCTATGAGTCGCAAGCGACTCGACGGCACATAACAACAAACAACAACATTCACTGTCCAGCTCTCAGACAAATAGCAAGCAATCAGGCAGAC